GGGGGGGGGGGGGACGCGAAGCCGATCATCTTGATACCCGCGGACGTCATGAAGAACGCCCCTGTTGATTCGCGATGATGGTCGCGGTCACCCCCACCGCAGCTCGGCAGCGAAGCGGGGGCCTCCAAGCTTCCTCCAAGCTTCCCCTTGCACGGGACGTTTGCAACAGGTAGGGAGGGGCCGCACCTCTGTGCTGCTTGCTGGCCAACCGCCTGCCCTCAGCGCCCTGCTGCCCTGCCTCCCCCTTTGGCTCCGCCCCCACCGCTCAGGCACGCCCTGCCCCGGACTCAAGGACGAGCAGTGGAAGGAGATGGGCTGGCAGAACGCCGACCCAACCTCGGACTTCCGCGCCGCGGGGCTCCTCGGGCTGGACAACCTCTGCCACCTCGGACGGGCGCAGCCGGCCCTGTTCGCCGCCCTGCGCGGCAAGACGCGCGGCGCGCGCAGCAGCTGGGAGTACCCCTTCGGCGCGGCCGGCGTCAACATAACGTGGTTGCTCGTAGAGCTGCTGCAGCTGCAGCAGGGCGGCGGCCCGGGCGGCGGCGACGGCGGCGACAGCGGCGGCGGCGCAGTCGCGGCGACGGCGGCGGGGCGGGGGTTCCTGGGGCTGCTGGGCGCGGACGGCGCGGCGTTCGAGGAGGTGTACTGCGCAACGTTTGACCTGCTTGACCGCGTCTGGCTGGAGCGGCGCGCGACCTACATGGAGTTCAACTCTGTGCTGAAGGACGTGCGGGAGCGCGTGCGGCGGGGGCTCGCGTCGGGGCCCAGGGACGCGGCTGCGCTGAGGGGCGCGCTCGGGCTGCCGGCGCTCGGCGCGCGGTGACGGCGCGTGCGGCGTGACCGGCAGGCTGGGCTTCCTTCTTGTGTAGTAATCGCCGTTTTTCTTGATTTCAAATCTGCCTGCTTGCTTCCCCTTTTCCTTCCCGCCTGCCGGAGCTGCGGGCTGCTCCCCACCCCTCTGGTGGCTGGAGCGTAGTCACTACCGCGCTGCACTGAGCGGCACGCGGTGCTTGGCGTGCGTTACTTGTTTTTATTGCACTCAAACCCCACCAATGTGTCGAGCTTGCCGGACTGGTTGCGGCGATGGCTGTGGCGACATGTCAAGGGCCGCGCCTCAATTGCAGCGCAAACCCTTTCTTCTGGCCAGGCAAAACAACGGAATTAAACAAAAAGCGAATCGACGACTGTGAACGCACAGATACAGAAGGAGACTCTCAACCGTCAACAGGCCGTTAGTCATGCGTGCCATCAGTCATCAATGAGCCCGTCCATGAGCGCCCGCCAGTCCGGCCGCTGCGGCTTGCCCGCGGCTATCCAGCGCCTCCGCATGACGGCCACGTTTTCGTCGTTGACACTGGGAGGGCAGAGAGGTCGGTGGGCGTGGGTGGGCGCGGCGCCGTCAAAACCAATTCGGAGCATTGGGGTCTACCCACACGGGTGAGGCTGGGCCCCGCCTTGGCAAGCCAGGGCTGCGAGCAGCACGCGCGTGCGTGGCTTTCAAAAGCCCGCAAGCATGTGCCAGAGGCTTAACAGATGCGCTGCCGATCCCGTCACCCTGGTGAGACGGTGACAGCATCAAACCCCGCTGCTCAAGTCAGCAGCTGCTCAGCCTGGGGGGGGGAGGCGCGGCGGGCGGGGTGTGCTCACTACTTCTGGATGCAGGCGTCGGACGCCTTGTACATGCCCCTGCACGCCCACACCATGGAGACGCTGCGGCCCTTGCAGCATTCGTTGTATGCGGCTATGGCGTCCTTGCACTTGTCCTGTGCCACCATGGCGAGCTTGTGGGTGAGCTCTGGGGAACCAAGCAGCACAGGAGGTGGGAAGGCCGTGGCAGCCGGGGTCAAGAGGGGAAGGAAGCGTGGAGCTGCTGGTTGGCGACGAAGAGGTGCCTGGCTGAGAAGGACTTGACAAGGAAGCGGGGGTCAGGCGCAGCGCCGCCCGGCAGACGGCTGGAGTGTGCCTCTGGCCGAAAACGTGTGCAGCGGGAGCGCAGGCCACTGGGCGTCGGGCACAGTGACTCACTGTCTTCGGCTTGCCGCGATATTTTTTCGTCGGATGCTGCTGCGTTGTCTGCCATGACTTCAGCTCGCTGCCGCACAGTGGCCACCGCAACGAAGCGCACGCAGCAGATGCTTTGCTCCCGCCAGTGATTGCCGCCCAGGACCAGGCGTTTTATACCAGGCGGGCCACGTGATAGGCGCGAACAATTAGTGATGCCAAATTGTCACTATTGTTAAGGTTGAAGTACGAAACAGGGTGGTAAATCAGATCAAACAACACTGATCGCCTTGCGAGGTCTGTGGTATATATGTGTTACTGGGTTGGCTACTTAAGAGCAAGGAAATCTACGTGAAAGCTGGAGAGAAACCCCGCAGCGCTGCGGTGATTTGTGCTGTTCGCCACGCCGCCGCAGCTGCACAAGCCGGAGCTCGCGCCAAACATGGCGGCAAACTTCTGCTATGTGTGCTACAGCACCGAGCTGTCCAACAGGGACGGCGTACTGGTCTGCGACGCCTGCGGCACGCAAGCCCAGGTAGGACGCACCGAGCCGCCCCGCGCGGGGGCGGTGCCCCTAAGCTCGTCACTCGCCGCGCAGCTGGCAGCAGGGCAGCCCCCGACGGCTCGGCCCGCCATCACCATTTGCTGATGCAGGGAGCGATAGAGGAGCAGGAGTATCAGCAGGGCATAGACGATGGCAAGGCAAAGAAGAGGATCAAGGTGCGACGCCGGCCGCCCGTCCGGCACCGTAGGCCGATCACGCGGCACCCCTGCCGCGGGCGCCGCTTTCCAGCGGCTGCTTCCTGGCGCAGTCACGGCCCGCCGATCGGCACGCAGCCCCTTGCCGCCTTGGCCCCACGAGCCGTTCTGCAGGCCACCCGGTCACTCGCATACCACATGCATCCTGTGTACTGCCCCTGTCAAGCAGCGTCTCCAGCAAGACCCCCACCCCCTCCATCATGCCCTGCACGCCCCCTGCAGGCGACCACCACGCAGGCCACCGTGGCGGCGACCGCCAACGTGGAAATCCAGGAGCGCCGCGCGAAGGAGGACCTGCGGGCCGCGGCGCTCTCGTACTGCTTCGCGCTGCAGCGCCTGCTGCAGGTGACGACGCGATGGCGGCGATGGGCGGGACACCCTGGCTTGCCCGCCGCGATGCGCGCGGCCAGCGGCTCGTGCGGGGTCTGAGAGCCTTGGGGAGTCAAAGGGAAAGGGGCAGGTGCGTCCCTGACACGCTGCCGCCTGCTTGCTTGGCCGCCCAGAGAGGAGCGCCGCCTGACGAGGAGCCCCGCGCCGCGCGTGGCGTGCTGCGAGCGCAGGCGCAGGCGCGGGTGCTGGTGGAACGCCATGGCGTCAACCCACAGGTCGAGTCGGTGATGCGGCAGGTGTGGCTGGCGCTGCTGCCCAGGACAGGCATCCTGGAGCCTGATTACTTCCGCCGGTGAGGGGTGGGGGTGGCAGCCGAAGGGGCGCCTTCGGGCAGTTGCGCGGCGGGTTGGAGCCCAGTTAGGCACGTCTTGAGCAGAGTTTTTTTAGCTAGGTGATGCCCTTGATGAGGCAGGCAGCAGCCTCAATGCCGGCTTATTCACTGTCATTGCACATCCCACCAATGCAGCCCAAAGCGCCCCGGGCCAGACGCCGCCGGTGGGGGCGATAGCGACGGCGGCGGCGGCGGCGGCGGCGGCGCGGGAGCGACCCCAGCGGCCGGCCGCCAGCACGGCAGCACATCAGCTGCCACAAACGACGCAATGACAGCGGCCGCCTCGGCTCAGGCCGCCCGGCCGATGCGGCTGCGCGCCGCCCTGTGGCGCCACTTGTCGCCGCAGGCGACCCTGCGTGTCGCCTTCTTGGCATGCCACCTGATGCGCGAGGCGGTGACGCCCGCTGACATCATTGCTTGGGCGGCGGTCGGGCAGCTGCCGTTTTTCGAGCTCCCGGCCTTCGCGGCTGATGCGGGAACGGCGGCCGCAGGCGCGGCCAACAAGTCGGCAGGGGGGTCCGCTGTGGCGCTCGCGCCGCTGCCGGCGTTGTGCGTGACGCCGCAGATTTGGGACACTCCCTCGCGCCTCGCGTCCCACGCGCGCGCGCTCGCGTCCGCGCTCGGCCTGCAGCTGCCGCCGGTCAACGGCGAGGCGCTGCTGCGGCGCGCGGCGCTGGAGCTGGGCGTGCCGCCCGCCGTTTGCGGCTGCGCGCAGCAGCTGCTGCGGGTGCACCTGGTCGGCCGGGCGGCGCTCGAGCTGCCGCGCGGCCGGCTGAAGGCGGGGGCCGGCGGGGAGCGGGCGGCGGACGCCGCGAGCCCGTACGCGGCAGTGATGGCGTGGTTGCTGGTGGCTGCCAAAGTCATGTACGGGATCGGAGCCACCAGCGGAAGCCGAGGAAGCGGAAATTGGCCCGCAGAGGGGTCACCAGGGGCGTGTGCGGCCACGTCTGCGCTGCCCGGCGCGCCGCCGCCGCCGCCGTCGTGGACGCACTGGGCGGCGGCGGCGCTACGGCGGATGGAGCTGGCCAGGGGGGGCATCCCGGGGTCGCCTGCTCAGGTGCGTGGGGCGTACCCTGCGCGGAACTGGGAGCTATCACCGCTCGTCTGGGGGACTTTGGCTGGCTCGATGCGTCCTTGGGAGGGTGTGCCCCTCGCGCCTGCGCAGTGCTGTTGTGCTCAAGCCTGATGCGAGCGCTCGGCAGGGCTGCCCCGGGCCATGCGGCCGCCACGCTGACGAGACTAGCTGTGCACACCCCAACCCATCAGGCAGGCGCCCTGGAGGGCGCCGATGCTGATGCGTACCTGCGGCTCTGCCTGCGGGTCATGTTCGCGCAACGGCCGGGCGCCGGCACGGGCCGCAGGGCGGGGGCCGGCGGCGCGGCGGCGGGCGGCCCGGCGCTGGCGGGCGGCGGCGGCGGGGATGGGGAGGGGGGCCTGTCGGAGTTCCGGCAGCTGTTCCTTGGGCTTTGGGAGGATGCGGCGGAGGAGGGCGAGGAGGGCGAAGAGGAGCATGAAGAGGACGAGGGCGAAGATGGGGACAGGGGCCGCCGCGCCGCTCGGCGGCGAGAGGGGGACCCGGGTGCAGGCGCAGGGATGGAGGACGGCGGCGGCCTGGCGTCGCCGGCGGCGGGGGCGGCGCCAGAGGGCGAGCGCGCTGGCGGGGCTGGCGCGCCGCCGGGCGCATTTGCTGCCGCCAGCAGCCTCGGGCGCGCGCACCCGGACTACGCGGCTCTGCTGGCCGCGTGCGCGGCCTGCGCGCGCGTTCCCCCGGTCGCGTTGCACCGTGCAGTGGTGAAAGCAGAGGCCGTGGTGATTGCAGCCGAGTCGGCGGCGCTGCTGGCGCGAGAATCTGGCGAAGCGCTGGGCGGGTGGGCGCCAGGTGGATGATGTCCAACTTGCTGCAACATTACAGGCGCTTCTGCTGGCGGCGACCCTGAGCAGGGCCATGTAAGTCGATGATTGCGTGTGCCAGACTCCCATTAGAGCCACAGCCGTGTTCTTACATATAGTGACAGATCCGCTCATGCTCACCTAATCGCGTCAAAGACCTGTGTGTCACGTTGCATAGCACCAGTCAAGTGTCCTTATTGTTAGGCAGTGAGCACGACGGGCGTTGTTTGAGGCGCTCAGCGAGTTGGCCCCTCCATCCACGGTGCCACGCCCAGACTACCGGTAGAGGGGTGATCGACCGCTGGGCTTGGCGAAAAGATGGAGGCCATTCTCGATCTCCTTCGCACTGCGGGTCAGGCAGGACAGGCCGGGTCATCGGCTGCAGCAGGTCAGGCAGCGATCCCTGGGATGCCCGTGGACCCTGGAGCCGACCCTAGCACCGCGGAACAACGCTTGGCAGCGGCCCTGGCGGCCGCGCTGTTGCCTCCGAGCTCGTCGGGCGGCGTCGTCATGACACAGCCCGCCCCTGTGCCCGCAGCGGCGGGCGCGCTGCAGCCGCTGCTCGCGGTGAACGGAGGCAGCAACCTCGCAGAGCAGCTGCTTATGCTGGCGCAGCTGCAGGAGCAGCAGCAACAGCAGCAGCAGCTGTCGATGGGAGCGGAGGAGCTGATGCAGGCCGCGCTCCTGGCGCACGGCGCAGGCGGCGCGGCAGGAGACAGCAGGTGAGGCCCCGCCGGGGCACACCGCAGCCCGGCGCCTTTTTCCAGGCACGCCAGGTGTCAATGCCTCTGTCATTATCCGCGGGCCTCCTGCGATTTCGACCGATGAGTCACAGCGGTCGCGGCCGCCACCATTGCTGGGTGCGACGCACGACTCACTGGGGGTCATCCCGCCGCATGCTGTCACGCCCCCGCGCGGGCCCGCGCCTCACAGCAGCCCCGTCGACCCGCGCGCCCCACCCCTCTCGCAGGCAGCGCCGCGCCTCGGACGCGGACTACGCGCCTATGGACGACGGCAGCAGCGGCGCGTCGCCCGACCCCGAGGGCACCAGCAGCGGCGCGCCCCCCGGGCGCTCCGGCCGCCGCGGGGGCTCGGGCAAGGGCGAGCATGTGGAGCAGGTGCGGGTGCGTCCCACGCTGCACACTGCACACTGCACACTGTACGCTACACTGCACACTGCACGCCCTTTGTGTGCAGCAGCGAGTCGCGCTGGCGCGCAGGCCTGCGATCTGTGGGCGTGCCGAAGGGCAGGTGCACCAGGTCGCGTGCGTCGGCCGCGCGCCGACCGAGGCTGACTCTAGGTGCGTCCTCGCTCGCCTCCGGTGCCCCCGCAGATGCGCTCGAAGCTCGACCGCTTCAAAGAGAAGAACCGGCTGGCGCAGCAGCGCTTCCGCGCTCGCCAGAAGGCCACGGTGCGGCGCCCGACGCCCTGGCGCCCGCGCGTGCTGCTCCGCACTCCTCCCTGCGCGCGCGCGCGGCGTGCTTTCCGCAGCACGTCCCCGCTCTTGCTCGCCCTGAGCCGCATGCGCCCAGGCGGGGAGAGCCGCAGTCGGCCAGCCGCCCCCGCTTGCCCCGGCGTTGGCACCATTTCGCGGCGCTGCGCCGACCCCTTGCGCCCGCCCCAGTGCGCCGACCCCTGTGCGCTGACCCCGTCCTCCCTCAACGCCCGACGCGCCCGCGCCCTAGATGGAGGACCTGAAAGCCCGCCAAGTCCACTTGGATGACCAGGTGCGCGGGGCCTGGCCTCTTTGCACGTGCAAACCGTCGCGGCCACGCGCCACAAGCCGCGCGGCACGCTGCAAGGCCACGCCCGCGCGCGACGAGCAAGCGGCCCAGGGCGCTGCGCTGGGCGGTCCTCAACTCGGTGGCCCTCGCCTCCCTTCTCTTCCCCCAACCCTGACCCGCAGCTCAAGCGGCAGCGCAGCCAGCTTGCGGCGCTGCAGAAGGAGAACGGTTTCCTGCGCACCATGCTGCGGGAACAGCAGGGTGAGGGGGCCGCCCCGGGCGCAGGCCCCGCGGCCGCGACGGACGCGTGGCCCTGTCGGGGCGCAAGGGGGGCGGCAGCTGGCTGCGGCGCACCAACGTACGGGCGGCCGCCGCGCAGGGCAGCTCCAAACCAACCGGCGGAGCCAGCGCCCAGCCCTTCCTTGCCCTGGCTCCCTCATTTCAAAATGCATGTCCTGCCACCCCCCCCCCCACCACCCCAAATCAAACAAGGCATCATCCGCGAGGTGGCGGGCGAGGCGGTCCTCGCGCAGATGCAGCGCCGCCACCTGACCACCGCCGCGGCGCTCGACATCCCCGGCGTGTCGTCGCTCATCGCGGAGCTGCTTACGCCGGCGGCGGCGCCGGACGACCGCCTCCTCAGCCTCGCCACGTTCGGGGGCGGCGCCATGCAGCCCGGCGCGCTGCGCGCCGCGGCCGCTGCGGTGCAGGCGGCGCAGGCGCAGGCGGCGGCGCAGGCGGCGGCGGCCGCGGGCGCGGCGGGCGCTTCGCTGGTG